TGAATAAGTGTGGAGAAAGAATACAACCCTGACGCACTCCCTTCCTGATTTTAAACCATGTAGTGTCCCCTTGTTCTGTTCGAACGACAGCCTCCCGGTCAAGGTACAGATTCCTCATGAGTACAATCAAATATTATTTCTTCAACATCTCTTAAATAATATATAATTGGAATATATGACCAACTTTTTTCTCTGTCATTAAAGGCAAAAATTCTATTACTCAGCTTCAGATCTGAATACTCATAAGGTTTTTAGGAAGTAATTCTGGTGAGAAATTTAATAGAATTTCAATTACTCATTTTCTTCTAGTCTCTTAATTATTGAGTTGTTTAATATTTTAAAGTCAGTAACTAGTATTTATACCACAAAGAGAAGAGGAACTGGCATTTCCAGTCATCAAATATTTATGAGTACCGACAGTGCTAACCACATACTCTTGGTCCCAATACCACTGTTACCATTTATTTAAAAAGTCCCTTCTTCTCCATCTATGGGAGCTCTGGTGGCGTGGTGCCTAAGGCATTTGACTGCTAACCAGGAGGCTGGTGGTTCAAACCCACCAGCCACTCCTCAGAAGGAAGGTTGGGCAATCTACTTCTGTAGTGATACTGCTTCGGAAACCCAAGGAGGGGTTGCTATCAGTTAGATCTGACTCGACAGTGGTGAGTTTGTTTTTTTTTCCTCCATCTATACACTCACATTCTCATTGCTATCATCTACTAACCTACAGAATATGCATTCAAAATACTTGCTTTCAAAGAGCTCATTGTCTAGTAGGGGAAACAGACAAGTAAACAAAAGTTACCTACAATACATAAGTACTATAAACAAAGGTATTTAAAGGGTATTGTTGTTGTTGTTGTTATGTGCCATGGAGTCGGACCCAACACATAGCGACCCCTCCGTGGGTTTCCAAAGTGGTATCGCTATGGAAGTAGATTGCCCAACCTTCCTTCTGAGGAATGGCTGGTGGGTATTAGAGGGACATAAAGACTGAGGGAGAGAAAAAGGTAGCTAGTACACTCTGAGAATAGGAAACCTGGAACACAATGAATGGTAAACCAAGTTGAGTCTACTATTTCAAGAAAAGTTTTTTAAAAGGAAGAAGAGAGGGTAACAGGTAGGGGTATAATTTCTAGAGGATTTAAGATGGGACAGAAATGTTTAACTCCTCCGAACTATTTTGCTTGATTCCACTCCTCTCTTAGGTCTAAATCCCACTTGGTCATCTACTGACCGTGAGCAAGTCATTTAACATTTCTAAGCCTCAAATGAGATAGATGTACGAGAACTCTAAATCACAGACAGAATCTGAATAAATTATCTTTAAAGTTGTTTTAATAATATTTCACCTCAAAAATAATCACAAAACTGTTCGATATTCAAAGAACAATCAAGACTAATTAGAGATTAACTAGTTTGTAAAACTGCATTCTACTATGTTTGCAAAACTGTTTAAACAATGAACAATTCCTATTATGACCATGAGTAAAATTTGTAGAAAGAGTTGATAAAGTGCTTCTTTTCCCCTTATCTACTGACTTCTAAAGAATCAACTGTAACAATTGTCCTGTGATAATAAAAGTAAAATGTTTAAGAGCCCACCGCTTAGACTTGTAAAAGTCATATTCTAATGTTTATAGAAATACACATTTTACATACTTACAACAAAATATTTGTTCATTTTCTTCCCTTTAAAATTTTAAATTTTCATGTACCTGTTGAAGGTACATGAAGAGTAGTTTTTAAAAACAGGTAAAATTAGCTCTTTACAGTATTATTCTCTTTTTACTATTACATACTCTAAAATTTATAACAAGGTTTTCCCTTACCTGATATGGACATGGAATGTGATATTCTCTGCAGCGTTCTTGTATCCACGTTGTTTCCCAGATGCCACGGTAAGCTTGCTCATAGAAGTAGCATCCAATTACAACCAAGAGTGGTACAAGATAAAGAATGCTGAAAACACCAATCCGGATCATAAACTTCACCAATTTATCTTGGTTTTCTTTTTCTAATGGAATCTCAATTCGAACTCTGTTTAGGGATATAATTCCAGCTAAGAGGAGAGAAACCCCAACTACCACATATAGGCAGAGGGGAGCAAGAACAAAATATCTCAATGCATCGACATCGTAGAGGCCAACAAAACACACGCCACTAATATTGTCACCTTCAATTTTATTCATCGCTAAAAGGATGATAGTTAGAGTTCCAGGAATGCCCCATGCGCTGGCGTGAAACAGCAATGCCTTCTTCTCAATGGCTTCACTGCCCCATTTTGGCACAGCTGCCAAGAACCACGTGATGGTAAGAATTACCCACCAAACGCTGCCAGCCATAGTAAAGAAATAAAGTACCATAAAAAGCATGGTACAGGCTTTATTATGAGATCCTTGTGTCACTGTGGAAGCTTTATACTGTGCAGGGCTAGATGCATTGCAGGCTACTCGGTCCTCAAGCAAAAACCCAATGAAGAAAATTAATGATACCATCATGTAGCAGACTGCATAAAATATAATAGGTCTTTCAGGATAGCGGAATCTTGTAACATCAATCAAAAAGGTTAAAAAAGTAAACAATGTGGCAGAAAGGCAAATGATTGAAATCAATCCTATGAAATATCGAGCAAATGAAAGCTCTTCTCTCCTGAAGTACATATTTGGACAAGGAGGTGAACAATCACGTACGTGCAAAAAAGAATAACCAAGGTCAGGATCAATTTTCAACTCTCGGGGACACCAAAAACCATAGTCCCTCTGCACTGCCACTGGGGGTCCTTCCGTAGGATCTCCAGCTAAATTCAAATCCACAAGTCGAGGATATGGCTCATCACAATCTGGAAACCTAAAAAAAGCAAATACAAGATGAAAACTATTTTTAATTATTGGGACATCTACTGCCACAACACAATTTGGATTTCAAAATTTAGCTCTGATAACCTTACTTATCCTTACCTCATGAGAATGAAATGGAAAAAAGTAGTAACATGGTGATACTTTGTTTGTGAGCCACACAACTGGATTTTCCATAGTTCACAAAAAATGATATGGTTTTATACTTATTTTTGCTTTGGCTTCAAAAACAGTACCCATTGCCATCAAGTAAATTCCACCTCATAGCAATCTTAACAGAACAGAGTAGAACTGCCTCATAGGGTTTCCAAGGCTGTACTTATGGAAGCAGACTGTCACATGTTTCTCCTGCAGAGCAGCTGGTGGGTTTGAACTGCCAACTTTTCTGTTAGCAGACAAGTCCTTAACCTCTACACCACCAAGGTTCTCTATTAAAACAATCAATCATAATCATGAATAAATAACAATACATATATAATATTTATTTAGGATACATAGTTTAGAGTAAGATTTCAAAATATAAAAATATACAGGTATAACTCTACAGCTCATTTTCTCATCTTTAATTTCATCTTCTAACAAGAGAATACTAGTAACTTTTTTTCTAACTAAATACAACGTAGTCTTGAATTTATTCTGGACTCAAATTGAATCTACTTAATCATTTAATCATAAGAGTTAAAAATATTCCCATAATTGTATGTCACACGGTGCTTTGAGTTGGATTAGAATTAAAAATGCTTCCAAGTGAAGGAAAGAGGCCCAAAATAGCTAAGGCAATATACATTTTTTTGTGTGTGTGATTTCGGTGAAGGTTTACAGAGCAAATTCACTTTCCATACAGCAGTTCACATATGCTTTGTCTCATGACATTGACCACAGTTTACCACAATGCAACAGCTCCCCTCCCACT